TTGTCCTTGCCACTGCATACCTAAGGGTGAATAACCTGTCACACATGATCAGATGCACTACTGCACTATTCATTCATATGGGCACTTATGAGTTTGATTAAGGTATATGATGTTCCCACACTAAATTTCTAAGTTTAGCCATCATTTTCATGAATTTGTTATTGAATGAGTATATAAAAAATTATTTCCACTTTTAACAAAATTCAGCAACATCACTGATGTGCTACTAGCCTTTTCTATTTGAATCTCCTAATTTAAGTTCCTATTCTATGATTTACGGAGCAAAGGGATGTACATTACATACTGATACATACTAACTCCTCTTTGAAAAGTAACTCCCACTGCTAAAAAATGTCAGTCATGCCCCCAATTACCAATGTGTTTCGAAAAATTTATCAAATTGTAACAATTTTTGTCCTTTCTTTCTCAGAATGGGGCAAGGAGAATATAGGATAGAGAACTTGACAAAAGTTATCTACTGCAAATAGCCTCTACCTAAATTTTGATGAAAGTAATGCTAAAGCCCTTAGAAGGCAATCATGTCAAAGCCTGAATGAAAATGTGGAGAATAAGAAACTAATAATCAAGTCAACATTTACCAATGTTTGTCATTATTAACTCTTCTCACACTTAAATGCCTGCCTTAACAATGAATAATCAATAGTGTACTACATAGTGTCCTATTACTGCAAGATTAACAAAACTCACTTCTCAGTCTATACTGTCACAAAAGATAACTAAATCTATACAAAACCAATAGAACATTAGACAAAGTCCAGAAAGATAGGACCCAACTTGATTAGAGAGGCAAGGGGAGAACAAGAGCTACTCCTAACAGGACAGTGCCAAATTAGTATTGCAGATTACAGTATTGAGTGGTTTTCTACATTCCAATTCTCTCTCCCCGAATTAATTTTATTAAGGCTACTTTCAGGTTTCCTGTTTTGGATACAAATTTATGATATTCTGGAGGTGATCTCGACACAATTTTCAAATATTATTTTTCCCATTTATTAATATAACGAATATTGAGCACCTATGAAGTACTTGGCAATGCTAAGATTATGTAGATTCAGTAGTGAACAAAGTCTCTGCCTTTATGAAGTT